AACCGCTGTCATCTGCATGACAGGTGCCTGCATGGTAGTGGAGGATGGGTCGGGCTATATCGAATTTAGCTAACAATTCATGATGGTCGGATACCGTCCTCCATGGCGCAGTTGCATGAGCTGCGGGCTAGTTGACAAGAGCCACTAGCAATCACGGGTTCGATCCTCCGCAGAGGACCGAAGGATGCGCGCCACTGATGAACCCCAATTGGGCAAAACGGCCGTCTGATGCTTTTCCGGATAGCTAGTTGACCTATCTGAATTGTCGGCTAATTGCGACGAACAAAAATACTCACCAAAACCCTTCCACTCATAAGAAATACTAAGACTATAGGATAGGCAACAAAGTAGCGCAGTTTCGGTGCCACATCTCGGGCCTACCGGTCTGGTCACGTCTTGCTGCTAATTCAAGGTCAAATAGTTGAAGATGGATCACTTGTCTGTTGAGCAGTCACGAACCACAGAAGAAAGATCGATAGGTCTATGGGCACATGTGGGACTCCATTAGTCAGGTGGGAGAGGCCTCCGTCAGAGTCCAAGTTGCCTAGCAGGAATATCCCAGTCATGGTCTTTAAGCACTATTCATCTCCATGTGGCCCGTGCTATCATTCCCTCCGAATGGTTAATGATGTAGGCCTGTGTTATGGTTGGACAGTCCATGGTTAAACCAGACCGCCTTTTCATCGCCTATATTCACTCTACACAGGGTTACGAAACGTTTGTAATCGTTACCCTCACGGGGTTGAGGTGACCTGGGTCCTTGAATGTGGCCTAACTAGGCGTTAACAGTTGGCTGAATAATTCACCGTCAAAACTGATCTAACACGTGCCGAATTTCTCGAGTGGCGGTAATCACGCTGTCGGACATGTAGAAGGTAGTCTCTTTATGCGGATGCCGGCGAACAACCCATAGGTATTCTTCCACTGTGGATCCTTATCGTAGCTCCTCTTCCGTTCGTAGCACCCGTTATGTGGATCAGGACTCACTTTGAAGTAACCCGCACCCATTCTGCCACTGAGATCGCATTTGAAGAAGGGTATCAGAAGTACACCGGCGCACCGTACCGACGCTTTGCTACCACGCGACCACCACCACTCGCACGAGAGCTGGGTCTACCGGGACGTCACCCGCACTTAGGCGGATTCGAACCGATGACCTCCGGATTACAACACAGGTGTGTAATCTTCCCGGCCACTGGCGGACATTTTCCGGGGTGTTGTTCTTCATCGTTTCATGTTTGGACCAATGAGTTTTACGGGTTACCACGCAAACGCCCCGGTAGGCATTAGGATAAGCCTAGCAAGTGCTATCCGTTGAGTGAGATGGCTTACTGATGCGGGTACTGGCCGGCCGCCAGTTCGAAGCACAGCTCCGATTGCCTAACCTCGGAGAGTCTAAAACGGCAAAACTAATCATAGAATGCAGTGTTGAGAGCGCGAATCACCAGAACGTTGTTCTACTGCTGATATTATAGAAATGCCCGGAGTGACCAAATTTCACTTCAGCGAAAATTGTGGTTTCAACTGTGAGGACACAACGTAATCACACAAATGGTGGACATTGGCACCCGAATGCAAATTTAACCATTTGTCTGTCCTAATTGAACGAGCGGGAATGGAGTCCGGCGGTGGACAATAAGTCCTGCGTCGGTTTAGAAATCTGAATTGATCAAGTCGGTCAGCAGACCGCATAGTTAAACGGAGGAAGGACGTTGATCAGAAGCTCCGCTCACTCAAACTTTACTGGTGGATGGAGAACATAAAATGATCGTATTCGTTTAGCTAGGTTATTTGAGTAGTACAAATCACTGGTTAGCTGCCAGTGAATGTGCACTTATGATGAATTGTACTAAGTGCACGAAACCTGTCCTATGCCTGCCGTAAGTCGTAACACTGGGACAATGGTTCAGTAGGTGGAAAGAGTGAAGTTTAACATGCCACGCGCTGTAGAATGCTCTAGTTATGGATTCCGTATACAAAAATGAACGTTATCAGTACAATGGACCGTGCATTTTTGGGTTCATCATGCCGCTGATTTTAACACAAACGTAAATCCGCAACTTGCATGTTCTCATTATGTCGTCTTTCGATAAACACGGGTGGTATCACACAATACGAACGGCTCACTGCGTCGTCAAAGTGTCAGTCGTCCTGGATTCGAATCCACGCTTTACCTGTCTCTACCTGGCTGGCTTGCCGAACAACCTCCACGTGGTGCCCACCGGGTGGTTCGGGTTTTCCGCGTTCCAGCAAATGGTTCAGCGGCAGTGCTATAGGAGGTGGTGATATTTCGCCTGGCAAGCGTTGTCCCTATGAAAGGCCGCATATGTTCGTTTAACAACACTGAACTGGTGGATGTGACTGACCCCTAACTAAGGTCACTTCCCCTTGCGGCACTCCAGTTGAGCATTGCATTCCAGCAACGCGAAGCGGAAATTGTGAGAAGAATAGGGCTCTTGTTTGTCGACCGACCAAACGAAAGGCGCTTGAACTGAGCAATCAGTCACCGGTGCACAATGGGTGCGATTCCCGGAATTTGCTCCGTTGCCCTGCGAGTAGGTCATTCGGCCAAAAGTAAGGGGAGGTGTCCCCTCACTCAGCACCCTACCTCGGCTTGGGAAATTGGGTAGTATCGTGCCCTCTGACGAAACTATGGATTTAACTGTGTTGTGTTCGATTTTCTTTTAATTACAAACGTGCATTTTTTGGTTTCCATGGTTTTTTGACTCCGTGTCTGTCTGGCAAGCAGAATGACCGACGTCTGGTTAGAAGTATACCGGCGTTCTAATGGTGATTGTATGTCGCAGTGCAAGTGTTAGAGTAGCGATAAAATGCAGGTGTACTTGTGTGAACGCGCATAAGCGCACACTTTCGTTTTGTTGTGGAATTGCAGAGATTTGTTTTAACGTATCGTTTCGTTAACCCCATTGGCTATTTACAGTCATTGTTTTTAAGTGCGGAGCACAGCGTAGCATGCCAGAGGGTCTTTGTAGCAAGTCAAGAGGTAAGACGTCGTCGACTCTAGCTTAGAGGGCCATTGTCGTTTCCTCTTCTCTTCGCCTTCTCATTTCGCTTTCGACTTTGTTAGAACAGTTATCTCAGGTTCGTTTTCACGCCATCCATCCATACATCATCGACAGCTGGGACAACGGCATCCAGATCGCCACGAGGTGTAAGTTAGGCGCACCTTCCATGCAGCTCCCACTCCTATTAGATGGTTGTGATAAATCCATCCAGCCGCCTAGGAAGTATCTGTTTATCCTTTCAGTCCCCTCGGTCTAATACGACCCAGGTAAGCCCTGGACACAGAAGTCTCCGGAACCCTCGACAGGACGCATACTACAGAGTTCTACTCTGATACAAACAATGTCACTTTCCGTTATGTATGTGCATTCGATTGGTTCCTTATTATGTTTAATCTTTATTGGTTTTGTTTGTTCGCACGCTTTCAGAGCTCTGGTTGGTTTTTACACTTATGCACCATGCTACATAACGAGGCCGTTTCACTATGAAAAGAACTTTGAATCTTCTTCCTGGTCGTTCGTGTCCTCACTTCTGTTAGTGAGGGAAGCAGTCGCCGGTCCCGACACAACATCAAATGCACAGCGAGTACTCTGAGACAGCGTTGTATCAAGGAGTCGTTTTCGAACACATTATTGTGGGCACCGAACGGACGTGGATCGGGAAAACTCTTCATGGCTGACAAGTTCTAAGGGAAAAGGACTCCGGAGACATTCCGACTGACGGGATTGCGCGGCTAACTTCGCATGATCACTCCTCAGGTTGGTGGCGGTTAACATGACTGTCATCATCATCATACACATCATCATCATACCTCAGCTACTGTGCCGCAATACATAGAAAAAAGGAGAGAGAAAAAAAGCAACTGGTGCAAGCTGGCTGAGCTACCGGTAACGGATGGGCATCGTTCCGGTAAGCTACCAGCCGGCTGCTGTGCACCAAAAAATTACTATGCAAAATTATATAAGGCTAAATAATGACTGGGTTTCTTCATAATCTGTTAGGTAAATATAAGGCCATGCTGTGAATGCCGGTACTTTCCACCGAACCCCCACTCTCAGAGCGTTTGACGTTTCACTACCTAAATACTGAACGAGCAAGATAGAAGCCAGGACACCCACGTGCAACGGAGAAGTTGTCCTGATGGTTTACAACTTTATGCGCTATGATTTGTTTATGGTTCGTCTTACACGAATAATAGATAGAAATGGTTGCCGTCTACAGTAATTAAATGTACTCGGCAATGTGACATAGCAGGAAGCGGTTCCCGTCCCCTAGATTATACAAGCCCTGTGACTGGTGGCTTTGGCTGAGACTGAGCGGCCTGTCTGGAGGCTTAGGGATATAAGAAAACAACACAGTAATCCCGAGGTGCTTACTGTGTTGTCTCGGTTGGTTTCGCTCGGAGGTCCACGTGCTTGCAAGACGGAGGAGGTTACGCGTCCAGCCTGCTAAGTGAATATCACCATCTCGACAAGCAACTCCCCAGCTTTGCCCGAATACTTTGTCAAAGAGAGCTATTTAGCAGAATTTAGGTAGTGTACTGCTCCTGACACTGGGCACCGAATTCAGCGGCCTGCTCAGCACTGTGGTCAATCCATGGGCGAACGGATAATTCACTTCATGCTTGACCTTGATGGCACAGAATAGGTGGCACAAAAGCGCTGCGATATGGATGGTGACGACGATGGCACTCAGGGCGGGGACGGAGTGGTCCAGGAGTAACCGCTGTACTGATTCAATAATCTAATCCCAACACTCACCTTTCAACACTTATAGTAACTGGTGTCAAATTATTTGTAAGAGGACACTTCGGGGTGTACTGATGTCAGAGAGTGTCCACGCGTCGCACAATATCGAGGAGAAATGACTGTTTGGTGGTTGGTGTATTACGTTCTATATATCCGTTACCATGTGCTAGACAAATAATGCACCATCATTTTGACTCTTACACGACAGGTATGAACAGTGGAACTCACACAGTTGAGAACAACTCAAGTGGAAGGTGGCTCGACAGTGTTGCTGGTTTTCGGTCGACAGGCAACGAACAGGAGAGTCGTCCAAACACGTAGTCGAGCTGACGGCCTGTAGACACAACGCACAACTGGTTCCCCTTGAGTTATCGTCCAACCCACTGATCAAGGATGCTTGCGGTGGAGCAGCAGATGTGTGACTCATCCCTACTGGTTTGAACGGACTGTGGTTTACGTGACTGAACGAAGACACCGGTTCCGGCGACTTCATTGTGGACGCCACCACACGCGTGTCTGTGTCTTGCACGGTTCTCGAGTCATTCGCCAGTGTGCCATATGTGCTTGTGTTCTCCGACTGGATAGATGGCAGTCTGTTTTCTTCGAACGGACTGAAGTCCCGGATCGGACGGAATGTGGTGGAGCACGCATGTCTTGAAGAAAGAGCACATGTGGAGAGAAGCAGTAAGGATGGTGGAAGGTTAGAAATGCGCTTAGAGTAAGCATATGCTGGTGGGGCGTGAAGAGTGGATGAGTGTTTCCTTTGGTGTCGGAAATGGGGGACTAACTTTGGAGAAACACCAAAGCAATATTGACTGGTGTACCCCTAACCACACTCACACATGGTGGCCATCCCCACCGCAATGATAGCGCAGACCACAGGAGTATGCATCCAAGCAGTTGGAGATTTCTAGTCACTTGTGTGATAAAGGCATTCATTTGTGATATGTATGTTGAAGTTCTGTGCGTTCGGATAAACAAGCCGTGCTGTGAGTAGTTAGAATCAAATTTACTTTCATTGGATCGAGATTAAAGCTAACGGTATTTGACAGACAAACTCAACTGTGATCCAATAGTGCACACCCAAAGTTTTCTTAGTGAGGTCGTTCGGTATCCACCTTGGTTTCAATTTACATATTACCGAACCATAAATACGTGAAAGTCAAACGTGAAAGAAAACTGAGAGCTCCCTCTCGTGACTTTTAATGGTGTTTGAATATCCGCCAGAGGGATCCATCGTAGCTGGTTACTTTGGATCCGGTAACCGGTATGCATATAAATGTAGTGTCAGGGTAGTTCCCGCATATCCTAAAAGGATTTCACTGAAGTCTATCCAATTACGGAAGGGTTGACAAGGAATTTTTCAGAACGGCAAACGCCAGGAACAGCCCACTTACTGTTTCTCCCTTGTAGTCATCGACAAAATCAGCTCGAATGACTTCATTATGCTTGGTGTATTTGTGATACGTAATGCACCCACTTTGAGGTCGGTGCTAACTCTCAAACGAAAGACAATAGGACGTAAAGCTCCGCTCACCTCGGTGCAGACTACCGCTATAGGATTACGCTGCAGGGACACCTGCTCTCATAATTGTCGCAGTGGGTCTATCCGCCCAATAAACGTATCGAGGTGGTTGTACATGTGTCGGCCAAATAACAAAGGAGGATACTTTGCAAATCGGTAACACACATGAGGCTTCTTGAATAAATCCCTAATCATTATTGGTAGTCAAGGAAATGTTATACAGTGCTTTTGTGCGCCAACTGCAGATGTATGAGTCAGCGACAGCGCGGTGAAGACATTAAGGAGGCAATGCTTTTTGGTTACCGGTATGTAGCAAGTAACTACTCTACTAGAGAGTAAACGATATCTTCGATTTGGTGTGCGGTAATGGGTCTTTCGGCTTTGCAGCTGGATATGCTACTGATGTGCTGGACAAACATCGATTGGGTGGTTTTATTCATGTACTTGCCGGCCGCAGACATCGACACATATTACGTACCGGTGTTGCACCGAGGCACGGGAGACTCCAGGATGTCCATCTGAGGGTACCTGAAAGAACAAACTGTGGTCTACTTTGTATGTGCGAGCTCTGTCGTGCTTGATGGAGACTCAGTGATAGATTGTATCAGTAATTATAAACCATCTGGTATCCCGCGAACGAGGTGTCGGTGGTACTCTTCCTTACCTTTAGTCTCCCACCGACAGTTACAGGCCTGTCACTTTAACGATCATATTGCTTCTCAACCCTTTTCCCAGTGACTTATACCTATCTTCAGCAGCTCGCTGGACGAGTGGTTCAGACTGCTGGCTTATAACCTACGGGGCGCCAGTTTGGACTGCCTAACTGGGGCAACCTCCAAATATCCAGAGTTCCTACATGACAGTTGGCAGTCACGCAGCAGGGAACCGTCATTGCGACGTACAGACGTACTTCTGTTACCCCTTATACTTACCTCTAGGTCTGCTGCCACTCCTTTTTCGTTAATTGACCTCACTAATGTGCCGTGTGGTTAGGCAACTCAAAGAAACTGGTCTCGGAGCCCGAAACTGACAAATGGAAAAGGATCAGATCCGCCATACATCAATGAGCAATTCGCACAGGACAACGGTCTGAAATAACCCAAGTAAAAGTGGCGCTTGAGTACCAGCAAGTTGCAAAGCGGGCTGGAAGCTCAGAATGTTCATTAGATCTGCAAAAATGTGCCGCAGGCACATGTCAGCATTTCCACCCCTCCTGATGTTCGCTTTAGTCAAATGTCCACTGATACCGACGGTCCTCTTCCACTGTCGAGTAGATATAGGAATCTACTGATCTGTATGGATCATGACACTCGTCTTCAAGTAGCAGTGCCCATCGCGGACATTTGTATCGAAATAGTACCGCACAGCTTGGTGGCTTACTGGGTCGTACACTACTGTGCACTGTCTGTCCTTGCAACAGATCGAAGAGAGCAATTTCAGTAAACGTCACTCCGTAGTGTCTTCTTAGTATATCTGCCTAAAATTTCTTTCGAGGCATCATACCATGAGAAAGTGAAGTTATTGGACCAACCACTGCTTCGGCTACCAGAAGATATAAAGATTTATTTTCGACAACGCGAGGCACGCCTTTACAGGTATGATCAGGTTAACGTAACAATGCGTGATCAAGAATGGGGAAATCCGATGTGTTTGTCATAACGGTGAATGTTTGTGTGCTACCACTGTACAAGGGCAAAGGTAGCAAGCAATGTTGCACGAATTATCGTGGCATCAACTTCTAGAGTTATGTGGGCAACGTGGTTTCCCGAATGCTGCTCAACCGCCTCGTCAGTCAGGTTGTGGCGGAAGGGCAATGTGGATTCCGTTCGAGTCGCAGCACTATAGATATGGTGCTTGCCGCTGGAGAGTTGCGGGAGCAGTGCAGAGAACGACACCAGCCATTGTACTCGCTATCTGTTAATTGCGCCAAGGCATTTGATACGGTGAACCGCGAGGCATTGTGACTGGTGTTGGGTAAGTTTGGTTGTCCGCATAAGTTTGTAAGTTTGATTAAATGTCTGCACAGTGGTATGCGAGCGAAGGTGCAGCTGAGTGGAGAGACACCGGATGACTTTGCAGTTGTCTCTGGTGTGAAGCAAGGCTGTGTCTTATTTCCTGCTCTGTTTAATATATATCTTTGTGCAATGATGTCTTGTGATTGTGATGCGACTTGTGCTTACAGTGTTCGTGTGGAGCACCGTACTGATGGTGGGTTGCTGAATATCAGTCGTTTCGGTGCGAGAACTCTAGTCTGTGAGACAATTATCCGTAGGCTGCTGTTTGCTGACGACTGTGCTTTGTCTGCACACAGCGCGGATGCGTTGCAGCACATGACTAGTGCTCTGGCTTCCACAGCGACCAAACTCGGGCTCACTATTAACACAAGCAAAACTGTCTGTCGCTTTCAGCCTTCACCGGAGGTGCAATCTTCACTATTGCTGCGAATCAGCATTGGTGCTGAAGTATTGGAAAGCACCTCCCGCTTCTGCTGCTACCTTGGGAGTGTGATGTCGACTGATCAGCAGCTACACAGTGAGCTGCGTATCCCCGTCTCGAAGGCAGCGGCGGCATCCAGGAAGCTTGAGTACCGAGTGTGGAACAACCATCAGCTTGCTATTGGCACGAAGCTGATGGTGTACAAATCCATGATGCTGTCCGTCCTTCTATACGGCAGTGAAACGTGGACAATGTACCGTCGGGATGTGCGATTTCTCCAGCGGTTCCGTCAACAGTGTTTACGGCGGATTATGCGCATCGGTTGGGGAGACAGAGTTGCAGACACGGAAGTGTTGCGACAAAGTGGGATGTATGCAGTGGACTGCATAATTTTGCTGGGACACCTGAGGTGGCTCGATCATGTGTGGCGTATGGATTCGATGTGGATACCGAAATAACTATTATATGATCAGCTGAGTATTGGGAAGCGGCATGTGGGGGGAACCAGTTACGTTACCAGGACATGAGCAAAGTGAGCCTCTCACGTTCTAATCTTGGTCATGGGAATCGAAGGCGGGTGATCGGCGTGCATAACACGATCTAATCAGGAAGGCAGTTGCCGAAGTGCGGTAGAAAGACCTCATGCATGCAGAGAAGAAGCGGCAAGTGCGGAAGAAGCAAGCACCGATGGTTTGTACTCCATCGACATCGAGCGCATGGTGCTGTAGCACATGCAGTCGCGAGTGTCTGAGTCAGGCAGGCCTAGTGAGCCATGAGCGACGTTACTCGGGACCACCACCGAAGCGACGACGGGTCCTGCAGAGAACGTAGGCAGAACCGACGTAGCGTTTGTAGGCACGCTGCATTCGATTTACTAACCGTGTGCTTGCATGTCAATTCCTTTTATTTCAAGTGGTGCATTGACAATTATGTCCTAATGCTTTTTGCTCATATTATTGTCTATCTGTAATAGCTTCTATATACTCGCACTCGTCGCTGAAGCTAATTTCAGTAACCTTTTCGCGTTTGTGGCATTTCCATAAAATATACTTCCCGGCTCATGAAGATGTCGGGGATTCGTTCGTAACCAATTTATTTTATACGCCCATTTAGTGAAGAGTAATGTCTCCGTATCTGTATGCGTTATCCGGGCCAGTTTATTTAATCTTGTCTTTCCAAGTGAGTGGCTGTTGTTTGATATCCCCGGTGTGGCTGCGCTTGATGTGCATGTTGACAAGGTTCTTACCTATCTACTACCCACTACCTCGTCCATATTGGCTCCAGAAGACAGTTGGTCATTGCTGGAGGGGACGGGATGCACGGTCCTTGTGGCCGTGTTAGGATCAAAGAGTGGTTCCATGCACTCAGTGTGGAGCGGACTACGGTCCAGCCACCGCCTTGTGTGCGCTTGATTCACCAAATACAGCATGCGTGTGTTCGCCTGTGAAGGAGTGTGGACCGGCTCCGTTGATGAAATGTGGCTCTCATCCACATGCCTCCCGGTCTTATTCCTCCGGGTTTACACTGGATATGGGGTGTGTGTTTGGAGCTGTGGGTGGTGCAGCGCAAGCCATCCGTGGTCCTTCTGTAGGCACAGGCGTTCTGTGGCTGGTTAAAGTGACAGACAAATTCGAAACCGGATGCCGCCAACCATGTAGCTGTGTAGTTAGTGCTTGTAGTTTGCTGCTCCGTTCCTGAATGCTTGTTATCGTCGGCAATGTGCGAGCAGAAGATTAATGTCCGTGTGTTGGGAAGCATTATCCAGATATCCACGTGGCAGTGGCGAGTCATGACGGCCACGTCACAGTGCAGTTAAGGAGAGATTTGTGGCTTTTTATAGGGAGAACGCCTGCCAGGCGAAAACTCACCACGTCCTGGAACACTGCCGCCGAACTATTTGCTGGAATGGGTTAAACCGGAACCACGCAGTTGGCACCACGGGGAGGTTGTTCGGCTAGCCAGCTTGCTCGACCGTGCGAAACATCATGAACACGGACGTGTACCTATGTCGCACGTGCCAGACATGATAGGTCAGGAATGGGATGCGAAGAATCCAGTGATGTCGTAGCTTAGGTCCCATGGTTTATGCTGGTCCAATGAAGCATGATAATGGCTGCGAATCGCCATGATCGTAGGGCACATTTTCAATTTATACGAACGGGGTCCTGGGGATCGATATAGCTTCGCTGCGTTTATGGATGAGATGTCTGTCATGGGAACGCATGTTCCTCGGAGATGGCGCAATTCGTGTCCGGGCAAACTGCGCCGAACTTTTATGTTAGATGCAAACACTCGAACTCATGTGAATTCAGATGTTGTGCCACCCTCGTTCCTCCTTTTAGGCTGATCCTACTGTCCTAAGTGGATTCACTTATGCATACAGTTAAGGCTGCGTAACATATTATTCGCTGGGGCATAAAAGTACTTTTTGATATAGATGTAGTCTTGTTAATGGAGTATCTTCCCTTCATTTTCTTTAGTTCTGGTGTGTCGTGTGTCTAGCGTTTTTCTCGCACGCGTGGTACACAGTACAGCAAGGCGGTATCGTTCGCTTCGGCTGTACAGTTCGCGAGGACGAGTTTGTTCATTCCAACCAGAAAAGTAACCACAACGGAAGGTGTATCAATACCCACGTCCGAGCATTGGAGTGGCGATGCAACTGCAGGCGGCGTAGCCTAATTAACTTCAGCGAGTGTAACATGAATGGAAATTGCTAGATAATGGGTGCGAAGCGCCCGAAAACCGTGCAATCCACGGAGCGTTTCAACCTTATTTGTTCTCATCAGGTAAAGATAGCAGGCATCGAATCCCAAGGTCATCAGAATGTTAGCCGGAACATCTACCCATTTGCCACCGAATTCCGACGAGTAACGCTTGTCACGACAGTTAATGACTCATTGGAGAGTCATTTTGAAGCACTCATTGTGTGAACCGACTGCAATGCGCAATATCAACGCGGACCACAATTACTAATGAAGTGGACCTTGGTCAGATCGACCACTGGGAGCGTAACTAATGAAGTAGCTGGATATCGGATGTTGCATGCCCGGGTCTGATGCCTAGTGAGATCAAATAAATTCGAAACGCGTCGTGGAGTGCCGTATTTTCGGGCGGGCAACATCCAATATCCAGCAGCTTCATCAGTTACGGTCCTAGCGATCGAGTTGACCAGGGTTCTCTTCAATGCGAATCGTGGTCCCAATTGAGATTGCACATCGCAATCCATCCAAACAACGATTGTTATAAAACGCCTCCTTTAATGAATGGAGCTTGTTGCATACGTGTTGGCGATGTGCCTCTGAATCGGAACAAAGCCTGCCGCGGAAGCCCAGCGACTGTGTGCGCCCTCTTATTTGAACGCCATCCTCCTGTCTCCAGTCCGTTGGCTTAGGGTCGGACATGCCACGAAGATGGGTATTGGGTATTGCGCGGCCGAAGACATTGCACTCTAGTGCAATGAGGTTACGCGTCGCAATCCATTCACACGAGTACATCAAAATTGCTTCTCCAGTGCTACGAAGTACTTGAGTATATGTTATGCTAACTATTGTGATTCGCTACTTTGCGTTTACCCTGATTGGTTGAACTTCGCTGAATTGGCTGACTTTTTTCCGTCTGACTTTTTCCGTCTCGTTCTGAGCGGTTGTAGACTCTATGTTTGCCTCTTGCGATATGTCTGCTACATGTTTTTCGGATACAACAGGAAGGTCATGCATTCCATCAAGGTTACATGCCACCCGTCAAAAAGACCCACACGCTCCTTCAAGCGTACACTCACTGGGCCTCCATACCACAATCACGCTCCAGTTTGGTCAAACACATGTCCGATGTGGTGAATTAAATGTGCGATAAATTCGAGTGTGTGCAGCCTTGAATTTGCCACAGTCAGTGAATTACTTCAGTTAAGGGTCAGTCTTTCACCGGTTCGCGGTGCAGTCGTGTGGTTCACCTGCTTTGAGCGCGCTGGTTTACTCCCTTGAGGACCTGCGATCTTATAGATTGTTCATTTGGTAGTTAGAATTCCCAGAGATGTGGTTGACCTGAATTGTTCGTTCGGCTACTTTGCGCGTGGAAAGCCATAAGGAAGTTTTCCTTGGTTCGTTTCGAATAGGAACGATATCATCTGGGCTTTTTTGCCCGCATGCAAATGCACTGTGAGAGAATACAGCTGGGAGAAATTGTCTAAAGCGTTTAATGGTTCATGCCATAGTGCTCATCATTGTTTTGGCCAATCTCCTCCCGATCACCCAGCGTGACGTGTGCAAGTTTGGATACGAACACAAACCAAACGATTGCCCTAGTTTGTTGTGGACTGCCGTACAAAGTCAACAACCACCTCAAAAATGTGTCTGCAACCGAATAATGCGGGAGATAGCCGCTTGCTTGGAACAGCCACTGGCTGATACCAGCATATGTCAGAGATATAGTGCCGTATAAGTCAGTAATCTGGTCTACTGTACTTTATCACATTGCGTAGAAGCCGCGAAAGTGTACAATGACCTCGACGTACATTCCGAAGAGATTTAGTCGCCCAGCAATCATAAATCATCTGAGGAAGTGCTTTGTTAGGGAGTGAGGTTTGTGAACTTTTCTGCTGCAAACTCCCAGCCAATTCACAAGCAATCAAGTTACGATATTCCCAGCCAATAACCACTGCCGAAGCGGTTCTTCCCAAGACGCCGAAAAAGTAGATTTCTATCAAAATATTTCGGTCTAATAGAGTCGCATGCCCAGCTAGCATGAGCTCTTCTTCATTGAGAAGGGGTTTACCCTCAATTCAAGAACAGCAAATTACACGTAGGGTGAAACGTACAAATTTTGTGGTTGTGGGAACTGACCTAATGATTCGCACCGCTCCTTGCCTCAGTGGTAGTTCCGGTTGTGGGACTGTTTGCGGCCGTCTGGATGTGGACTCACAACCATTCAATCTGTTTGTGCTCGTCGACTTGGACACACGCGACCGTGCACTCTCAATGCTTTCGGAAGAACTAGTTGGAGAAAAAGCAACCGAGGTTACAATTCCCTCCCTCCCAGTTGCCTCGGTGCTTTCGACCTCCCTTCGGGCGGCTGGTTTGATGTCTTTGGTCAGTGCAGATAATTCGTTGCAATCCGGAGAGTTCCGTACGGTCGCATTGACTAAAGCGAGCAGTTGAGGAGTTTTGACGCATCCAGAACTACTTACTTGAAGCGAGGGGTGTACAGCTTTTGGTATAAACAGGGAAGTTTGAGGCGGAACTGCGGGCGACGGTATTTTGTGAGCACAAGAAAGTTGCTGAAGGTCCACGTTGGGCACAAAAGACAAGTGGCAGTTTTGCAACGTTCTCTGTCCCTCTAACAAAGTGGTCCTCGACTTCCAGTAGGCGCGAATGAGGGATTCAGCCTGTGGGGTGGGAAATTTGCAAGTGGGTTAGAAATACATAAGGCACGTTGAAGCATATATGAACGCACAGGCATCAGCATACGAATAATTTGTACACATAATTTCATAGTTTCAGCGTAAGTTGCAGCCGCTGCGGAGACAACGAAATTGGCATTCTAGATGAAGGCTCAATTTCAGGAACTTCATTAGAAAACAATTAGTCGCTATAGATTATTGAGCCCATGGGTATTCGTTGGGCGTCTAAATTTCCACGTGCAATCTTAGTTCGGACCGATACTTATTCTGAAGTAAACCTCGGTCATTCTAACCCCAGGGACCGATTTGATGAAGATAAATGCTAAATACTGATTTCTCCCAACATTGTTTTACGGCCCATTTCATGTATGTTTGCACACTTCAGGTGGAGATAATCGGGCTGGAACTCGAACACGAGAGCGCCAACAGGGAGTGTCGTGCTTCATCAGCAAGTTGTGTTCCAACATTATATTTTATGGTTAGGAAAGGCTGTAATATCGAAAAGCTCTTTTCGACATAATTTTGTCACTGTGTTTGTACATTTCCATAGGCATGGTCTATAAGGGAGCACAGTGCTTTGAATGATCTACAGGAGGTGTTCGATATACAGGGTGTCCGTTAAGCCTGGACACATGGGTAAAAACTCAAATATTTATTCAGATAACATCTCCAGTATGCTTTCCATCATATATAATGCAAATGCTGATGCGCTGAGCAGTTTTCGTGAAGTTGATACAATAAATCCACATTGCCGTCAATGTTGTTACATTCACTCCTTATTCGTTGAGTCAAGGGTACAGGATCTGTGAAGTTTGTTGAGCATACCTTCTCCCTTAGCAATCTGTATCGAACATTTTATCAGGTAACCTCAGCATTCACATAAAACAAACCTTAATCGCTAAATAGAACAGTTTTCTGTGAAAAGAAAGTTTTCTACCAGTTTTTGTAAGACTACTCACACCGTTCAATTCGTCTGTCAGGGTCATCCTATGTTAATGACGCAAGATTTGTAACTTATATAGATGAAAGCTCCTATGTTTTAAAAGTTGACGTACGGCTTATTTCCCAATACCTAACTCCAGAATCTGTGGAGGCAAAAAAGCCGTTAACGATGCTGAAGTTGTATTTCATTTTATTTTAATGAAAAATATGCGACTATCCTATATGCCCAGATTTTACGAGCACCCAGTACTTTGTTGAGGTTGTTGGCTCATGTTAAATGTACCTGGCAATCACTGGATGAGTCATCGTTTCAGGCATATCAAACGGATGGTCTCTTGGCTGGGTTGCGTCCATTATGACCTAGAGTTACATATGTCTGATTGGCTGGTCGGATCGCGCAATGGATCCCAGCAGAGTCGGCCTGCGTGACAGCGCGGTGTGATCATGTGACATGGCTGGTCCTTCCAAAAAGGTGCACATGTTTCCACTCACATGCAACACGGCAGAGGCAATCGCATGAGACAGTCATTCAAGCAATGGCATTAAACATTACTAAAGTGCGGCTTGATACGTTTCCCCGAAGTATGAACGATCAGACTAACCTGACACGCAGCTAAAGCGTTGTTCATTGGCTTCACTGAAGCGGTTGGCTAAGATGAGATTTGGAAAGTATAGCAAGAAGACGACCATTGGTAGATGTTAGCATTTCGTATTGGCTCTTCAGTACCAATAACAATAACCGACGAGGAACGATAACAGACGGCGGATGTGACTAAACAAAGGAACAAACTTGGGGATCAAAATGGATGAAAACCAATCGGCCTTTATGTCCACGAAAGTCTGACATTGACGAGTAGCTGTTTGTGCACGCACAGCATTGGCTGCATTCAGCTAATTGCGATAGCCTCAGAAGAAATCGCGGATTAGAGTGCCGCAGCAAAATTTTGAATGTGTCATCGGGCTGGATCCGGTGACCAGTAGTCAATAAAGGTATACCTATCGAGGATGCCGGCGGCTTACGCAACGGCAGGGATTGGGGAGGGTAAGGCTGTTCGTTTAAGCCACGCTGTATCCACTTCGGTGCATGTTCCTTCATCCCTGAAGACAATGCTTTATCGGTTCTGACAATGTAACTGGCTCCGCAGTCACACTGCAGTGGGTTCACAATGTCATCCACATTCGACTGTAAGTGTCAACATCACATGTGACCTTACCCTTTCTGTGCCTATCATTCGCTGCATATAAGTGGTTGATAAGAATGCACGAAACAACGACGTCATCTCACAATCCACGTGCTCTTAATGTCATATTTGGAAGTATAAAAGAGATTTATCGTTCTATATATCAACAGCGATTACTATTAATCATGTTCATGTGCACATAAGGCAATACGGGATCACCTTTTTGGGA